TACGTTATATAAATACAAACCCTCAAGAGAAACCAATGAGGCAATATTGTCTATCTGCTTTGAGTTCTCAGTAGCTGCCTTCACATTCTTGTGGGCATCTAAACAGAAGAGTTTTAATGTAGGATGTGTTAGGATAAATACAGCTTTTTTCCCCCCTGAAAAATTCCAAGATCTTCCTTTGAACTAGAAATAAGCACAGTGGTATTTGTTTAGAAATACCAGCCATCATGAAAGCTGGAATTATTTGGTGCTGAACACTGATGTATTGAGATAGTTAACACAAAGATACAGAAGAAAGTATAGACTGGGAATTTTTCTGAAGGTGAGCAGCACTGTGTTATGTTTGAAAAACTGAGCCAGAATTAGGTGATATACAGAGTCATCACTTAATGAAAAGTTAAAGAAGTTATTTACTCAATTTTTATAATTGTATTCCAAACTTCCAAGTTTGAACATGGGTGAAATTCTCTTATAGGCAGTGGAGAGGGCACCAGGCATATACCAAATGTCTCCATATTAAAGTTTCAATCACAAGTATCATTTACAGTTTGAAAGGAAAGACTGTGGTATATGATGTTACAAAGCATTTGTTTTTATTATGAAAATACCCAAGCCTTGCATTTTTTTATGAACTTGTTTTTAAAAAAATCAAATCCATTGCACTGCCTAAGGGGTCCCTAGCTAATAGAATGCAAAGTTTCTGAGGAATGTTGATAGACATCAGATTGATCAATCAGCTAGACAAAGTAGACAGATATGAGTTGTCTGTTTAACATTTTTCTTCTGAAATAAAAACTGATTCTAATGTTATATCAAAGAGAACACAGGGATTCATTTAATAGCAGGAGAGACATCGTCACCTCCCACCTAATAAGTGGGAAGTTATTTACAATATCTATGAATCCTAATACACAGAGTATGATAGTTCCACAAATACGTATAGAGTACTGAGCAACAATAATTTCCATTTTACTCTTTAGCTTATTCAGTATTGCCTTTGCTATTTCGTCTGAAAGTGAATTTACTATTTATGAAGAAAAACTAAGTACATCTGGATATGTTAGAATGCTGAATTACAGAGAAACAACATAACAAACACACACATACAAATGAGATAATAATAAATGTGAAGTTTTTAGTATTACACTGGGATACTAATCACTGATTCATAACATGAAGTTATGACCAAACTTTAAATCTATTTTGTGCTGGAAAATATCCTAGGATCATAAACCATAGAGACTATGAAAATAGAATTTCTGTGGTACTGATAATATTTTTGTAAGTTTAAACAGACTTTTATTAATTGTTTACAGCTTAAAATCAGAATTTAATATATTCAGTACATGTAATGAGTTACAATTAATGAGTAATATTGTGACATTTTTCTTTAAATTTACTTCGGTGGAAATGCTATTATATAATACCTCATTGTGTGAGAAAATAAAGGTTTCTTATTTAAAAAAAGATTTTTTCAGTAATATGTAATTCATTGTGGCTAGGCTTCATGAACGAAGATTTGAGAACGGCTCTACCCACATTTGCTACAAACGCGCTGGTGGCTAAAAAGGCCAATACGAGATAGACAAGTCCTGTTGCAAAAGGCACAGCAGAAAGACTCCTTAGGTGGTATCGACAAGACACGATTCTTTCTGCCTTGTCTTTTCTCCTTGAGAGTGACCCTTTGTGCGTTCTCAAAACAAGTAGCAGCATTACAGATAGTGTGTCTCCAGACCTCCCGACTGGAGGCCAGAGTAATATGTAATTATATCATTTATGTAAGCAAGTTGTGCCAGGGGAGCTTTAGAGTGGATATTTGGAAAAAATTCTTTAGTAGAAGGGTGTTCAGGTGCTGGAATAGGCTGCCCAGGAAAGTGGTTGAATCGCCACCCCTGGAAACTGTTCAAAAGGTATGTGGATGTGGCACTTGCGGATAATGTTTAGCTGTGAACGTGGTGGTGGTATCTTAATATTTGGACCCAGTGATCTTAGAGATCTTTTTCAACTTCAATTATTATAAAATTCTATGATGCTATGATTTTTGGGTGCATCCCATCAGGATTCATGGACAAATATGTATTCAGTTTGCCTAAGTATTTCCTCTCCTGAGTCTCATCCATCAAGGGTGTGTCTTCCTTGCTTCAGACTTTTTCTCTGGTTTCAGGTTGCTGGATTATTGAAGGACAGCCTCACCAGCACAGACTGAAGCAAAGGTGGCATTCAGTACCCAAACTTCTCCATGTCCAGTCTCATCAAGGTTCTATCTCATTGAGCAATGGGACTACGTTCTCTCTTCTCTTCCCTTTGGCACATACATGCTTACAGAAGCCCTTCTTGGTGTATTTCACATCCTTGTCATACTCAACAGCATTTGGGCTTTGACTTTCCTAAACTAATTGCTGCATTCTCAGATAGTGTCTCTATTTCCTGCCAGGTTACCTGTCCTTGCTCCTGTCCTCTGTATGTTTCCTTTTTTGTGTTTGAATTTGGCCACGAGTTCCTTGATCATTCCTACAGGCCTCCTGATATTTTTGCCTGCTCGTTGAGATGAACTGCTCGTGATCTTAGTAGTCATAGACTTTCTTGGACCCTTCTTCTCTCTGGGGTTTTATCCTATGGGACTCTTCCAAGCAGATCTTATACCCCACTCTATTGTAGAAGATATGTGGGTGGTTGAAGTTCCCCACGAAGTCCAGCAAAGTACAAAATAAGGGTTGAAGTTTCAGCAGCAAAATGGAAATATATATTATGTTAGATTTTGCACAGGTGAGCCAAGTATGTTTTCTTCACTTGTAGTCAGACGTAGTTGTGCTATCGTGCTGGAATTTAAGCCACTCCTGGAACATTCCTTTGTTTTGTTGCACATTTATTAATAAATAAGCATGAACAGGAAATAACACCTTTTAATAAATGTCATTCAAATTACAAAGAAATTATATACTCAAATTGAGGGCAACAAACCTGCCAGTGTATACTTCCATAAATGTGTATATATATATATATATATATATATATATAAAGGAACATAAACATACTCAAAATTAAAAATGTTAATGATAAAATGCTAAAAGCTAGCCAGAATGTATAATGAAAAAAGATCAGTAAAGTTATAATTACTTAATAGTTCAGCACTTTGGCAGTGACCCAGAAAGATCCAAATACATGTTGAACATCTCAGGGGTTTAACTGGGACAGACTAAATCTAGTACTACACGCACTGTCTGAATTGGAGCAAAAGCGCTCAGCAGTTTGAAAGAGTAAGCTGTAAATTAATGATTAGTTAGTACAAACGACACTATACATCATCATGGCTAGGCTTCGCGAACGAAGATTTGGGAAGGCTCTATCCACATTTGCTACAGGCACGCTGGTGGCTTATGAGGCCAATACGTGACAGACATATCCGATTGCAAAATGCACAACAGAAAGACTGCTTTGATGGTGTATTCTGCAATACACGGTTCTTTCTGCGTTGCCTTTTTTCCTCGAGAGTGATCCTGCGTGTGTTCTCGAAGGAGACAGCTGCATTATAGATGGTGTGTCTCCAGGCCTCCCGATTTGAGGCCAGAGTAGACCAGTTACATTGATCAATATGGCCAAGGCTGAGATGTTGTTTCAGGGAGTCCTTGTATCTTCTCTTTGGGGCTCCTCTCATGCGGCAGCCAGTGGCAAGTTCACCATAGAGCAGGATCTTAGGGAGGCGGTGGTCCTTCATCCTTGAGACGTGCCCTGCCCATCGCAGCTGCGTTCTCAGTAACATGGCCTCAATACTTGTGACAGCTGCTTGTTCTAGAACAGATGTATTGGTCACATAGTCTGACCAGTGGATGTTTAAGATTGAACGGAGGCAGCGTTGATGGAAGCGTTCGAGGAGTCGCAGGTGGTGGCGGTAGATGACCCATGATTTGGAACCATATAAGAGAGTAGACAACACTATGGCTCTGTAAACACTGATCTTGGTGCTTTTCTTCAAGTGTTTATTATGCCATACTCTTTTGTGGAGTTTTCCAAAAGCACTGTATGCCTTTGCTAACCTGTTGTCTATCTCTCCGTCGATCTTACCATCTGAGGAGATGAGGCTACCAAGGTAATTAAACTGTTGGACTGATTTGAGCCCCCGAGCGCGGGAAAGGCTCCTGGCAGCCCGAGACCCCCGGCCACGAGGCACGGGAAGCACCCCGGCTGGGGGTCCTGTCTATACATAATATACTATTTATTTTTGTCTTCGTTAGTGATAGCATATTATAGATTATCAACAGAGAAGCATTCAGCGCATTGATAACTGTGCTCAATGATATAGTCTGAAGGCTGGAAATGCAACACTTCAGTATTGCTGGATACAAAATTATTTTCTGCCTCTCACATATAGTCTGAATATCAGTATTATTAACACAAAGCCAAAAATTAGTATAAAAAGGAATCATGTTATCAGTTTTGTAGGACTCATCTAATGCAATACAGAAATTTACAGCCCATCTCTTCCTAGAAAAGATGTCTAAGACAGGCAGATGCCCTATCTCCAGCATATAGAAGAGGAGTCACTCAAATATAGCTGTTTATATCCTACACATGCAGACGGATGATACTGCTGATCTCATTCCTACTCATGCTTAGATTTTCCTGTTCTGTACCAAAGCATTTGTTCTGATTAGCCTATACATTACTAAAGCCATAAGACTGCATAACTGTGAAAATAAAATAATACAATTAAAATTTTGTTTTGGAACTTGATAAATTTTTTTTGCTAACAGCAGCAAAGCTAAAGTTCAGAATTGTACTTTTAGTGAAGGGAAGGTCAGCTGAGGAACAATTAGGAGACACAATCTAAGAATTTAAATGCTAATTCAGTTAAAACTCCTGTAAATCATACAACCATGAAAATATATGCATATTCATATATATATATACATCTCTGTTATTAAACAATTATATAAACATTGCTTACATAAAATGGGACATTGACATCTGTAATACAAGGCACTTCAAAAGATAAAACTTACCTTTGAACCCAGCAGTACAATGACAAGAAAAGTGGCCACTTAAATCCATACAAGTAGCTCCATTTTTGCAAGGTGAACTTAAACATTCATTAATTTCAACTTCACAGAAGGGACCTTCATATCCGGGCACACAATTACAGCTGTAATTATGCAAGTGGTCCTGGCAGAATCCGTATTGAGAGCACTGATTTCCAATGCAATTGTCTATATCAAGTTCACAATATGTGCCAGTGTAGCCAAGGGGACATATGCACCTGTTATTGAAATGAGAAAACAGGAGAGGAGAGGTGAGGTGAGGTGAGGAGAGATTAGGAAAGGGGAAAAGCACCCCCAGAATCACCAGCCTGGAATATAATGGTCCATAATGGCTATATTGTTAACAATATTCTCACTTTGAATCACTCACAGATGAATCACTTTTCTTTTTTCTTTACCTTTAGTTAGTCACTAAGTAAACTCACTTCACATAGACTGCTAGCAATAATTAAACAATATGGAAAATCTTAGCTATTTACATAGACAAACTAGTAGCTCTGTAACTTTTAATATTTAGCTTCAAATGAAAATATTAGAATTAAAAACTCATAAATATGTGCATTATGCATTTTAATTTTTTTTTCTGAAAAAATAATTAGTTGCTTCCTACAATATCAGTATGAAGAAACAATATTAGATTCTGTTTGCTCTGGACACAAAAGCAGCATAAAACTGCTGTATCATTAGCAACAAAAGTTGCAATTGCTATCTAACTGAAAAAAAAGAGCATCTATAGAATTTTATAGAAATTGTTCAGGATTTTTTTCCCCAAATGTTGGATGAGATATAAATTGTTCAAGACTGGAGATGACTTTCTCATGTTTCTCTTTCCGCCTTTTTTTCATTTTAATGTGTAAATGAAAACAAATCTGGACCATCTCATAGCTAACCCATATCTTGTAGAATTAGAAAATCCCTTGTACTTGGCAATATATTCTTTGATTGATCCTTTCCTTATCATGTACAGAGGTCTCCTCACACAGGAGGAGATAATTTTACAGTAATCTTACATCTTCTTAGTCCACAGAGATGCTATCTAGATGATGGAAAGAACTAACATGTTAAGGAAGCCTTGATTATAGTAATTTTCTCTATTGATTCATCTGGCAGAAAGAGTATTTTTTCCTTTATTTTTAACAGAAGGGATTGTTCATGTGGCTGTTTGCTTCTGTCCTGGTTTATTATCTCTGTATTTTTTATAGTAGACATATGGAAACTAAATCACTAGCTGTGAGCCCTGGAGTGTAGCTAATGGACACCAACTGCTAATGGGCTTTTAGTCCATGGACCAAAAGAGAGCTTGCTTGAAGTAATCCCTCCATATCTCATCTAGAGTGGTCATGAGTCTGAGAGACTGAAAAAAAGTTATTAAAATTATCAATGACTCAAAAGAATTTGAGGGAGGGGAGTGGAGGGGGCAAATCAGGTTCTGTCAAGGTGGAATGGTGCTCTACTCTCATGCCCCACCTCCTTGAGAGCCTTTAGTGCAGCTGTCAGCCACTGACACACCTGAAACCCCATACCACACCCCCTGGAGCCCCTGACCCCTAACCAAATGGCTGGCAGATCAAAAGCCCCACCTGGGGGGGTTGGCCACAGGAGTCCATACTAAGTAAAACCCACACCACAAGACCTCCTCATGGTCATGGTCCTATTGTCCTTGGATTTGTAGTAGCTGGTTCTACATTGGGTCTAAGGCGGTAGCTATAATTCTCTCTCTTGCTCACTCTCTCTTTTTCTTCACTTCTTCTCCTCCTAATTCCCTTTTCCTTGATTTGGTTAACTTAAACTTGGGTGGGTTGGAATTTGCTAAGTCAATGCTTTGTGAAATATTTGCTTTAAACTTTTGCCAAGTTCCCTTATTTTCTAAAGTTTGGCAGTAAAAGTCTGTTATTTTGACCTCCTGGAAACATTGTCGTGTTTTTCCCATGCATGGCCCCAAGGTCTAAAAGAACTGAAGTCCACTTTAACAAATCCATTGGGTGGGTTTTGGGACCTTATATCTTCTTGACATAAAACTCTTTTGATGAGCTTGTGAGGTAAGCATGGGGTCTTCAGCACCGCTGTTTTTGCTTTGCAGATCCATTGCTACTGCAGTACCTACTCAAGTAGGTATAGCTGCTGTATTCTCTCTTCCAGCCTAAACTTCTTAGCAAAGGATAAATCTTCCCCTCCTCTTGCGAGCTTCATTTGATTGCGTTTCTCATTTTTTAAAGGAGTACAGTTCAAAAAAATCTTTTCATACATTTACTTTACTGTGCACAGGAAGTTGGGAGAAGACACAACTGGGACAGGTGACCCAAATGGACAAAAGGGATATTCCATATCATACATCATCCCGCTCGGCATGTAAAGCTGGGAGGAAGAAGGAAGAAGTGGGGGACATTTGGAAGGATGGAGTTTGTCTTCCCAAGTAACCATTATGTGTGACAGGGCCCTGCTTTCCTGGAGAATGCCAAACACCTGCCTGCCCATGGGAAGCAGTGAAGTAATTCCTTGTTTTGCTTTGCTTGCATGCGTGGCTTTTGCTTTGCCTATTAAACTGTCTTAACTCATGATTTTTCTAGCTTTTACCCTTCTGATTCTCTCCTTCAGCCTGCTGGTGGGGGAGTGAGTGAGCAGCTGTGTGGTGCTTGGCTTCTGGTGGGGGTTAAATCATGACATTTACAGCTAAATGTAAATTTCAACTTATATAAAATTTCATTATGCATAAACATTAAAAGTACATGCACTCTAACACTTTTGCCCTTATCAGAGGGCTGACCTGGCTGTGCAGTGACACCTCAGTGCAGTGGCTCAGCCCTGTAATGACCTGGGCTGGGTGTCACTGGTTTAACTCCTTTGCTGGTGCCAATGGCTACTGCCCCTCCTATTCCAGCTTCAGCCTCTCTGGCATGTGTGTAGGACACTTCCCAGCAAAAACCAGGAGATGCTAATGACACCCCCCCATCCTCTTTATTAAAGAGGACTAAAATGTCAACCTTACAAACTGGGAGAACGTTGAAAGGATAAGCACGGTCCCAGAGAAAAGCAAGATATGAAAAATTTTGTATTAATATTAATGGGAATAACAGTACTTTCTTAGCTTCACATATGTACTCTTTCACCCATAGCAAAATTTTGAGTGTAACAGATCCTAGAAGGGAAAACAAATACCTCAGTGCTTTTGCTACAAACATGGATTTTTGTAGTGGGTAGCAAACACTAGCCATAGTGACCTTATTGTGGATTGCTGTGCTCCCACACATCATGCAGACAATTGTATGTTTCTACTCCACTGCCTAAATCTAGATAATGTTGCACAATAATTTGATATGCCTGTAAAATAAATGTTAAATGGAGATGCAGATATGTCAGGCATGGAATTTAGTCTAAGAAGGAATGTTTTACTGAAGTGCTTATGGTTATGCCATAGCTGCAATATGTTCCTACCAACATGCAGTAGGATATAGCTTTTTATCACCAAAGGTCTGGAACAGTAGGTGTGAGGGTAATCAAGTTGGTACTAGTTAACCCAGCCAGTGCAGTTGTCACAGTGTCACGATAGACTTTCTGCACTAAAGATGTAGTGTGATTTGTGTGCTATTGAATAAATAACTGTGTACGTCAGATGGAGCTTTAAAATGACTGAAAAAAGCCAAAGACCAGACTGAAGATCCGGCTTTGCAAACCTGTGCTAGGGGATGACCCAGACATTTTCTCTATCTATGTAGGAGACATATAGGAGCACTGAAGCCTGACATTAGCAAAGATTTCCCAGAGTCCCTCTACTTTGTTTTGTAAATATTTATTATTTAATATTTATTGTTATTATCTAAATATATTTATTATTATTAGTCTAAGCAGATTAACTGCATTTACTCAGTATTAATTATTTTGCTTTCCAATTGAAATGTGAACTGCACACACATTCATAAATAGACAAAAAGGTTATTTACTTTCGCTTTTAATTTTTATATGTATCTGTATTCTCTGCAGAAAAGCTGTTGTATAACTTATTGCAGAGATATTCCCTAAGAAATTGCGACATATATTCACCTACCTTTTGGAGCTGTAGCAAAGGGAAGAAGAGTATTTCTCCTCTATTTCTAGTGGAAGAAGCTTATTATTGCTACAGAAAACCGTGTATATCACAGTACTAAGTTTATATGACACTGCCAACTAGGTCCTGCAGTCAAATTGCATATATAATATATAATGAATAAAGTCAAAAAGAGAAAATTAGATACCAAAAGTAATCTAATCAAACAGCTCATTCATTCAGCTGGAAGAAACTGGAAAAAGTCAAAGACGAATAAAACAATAAAAGCTTTAAATTTTGTGATATTCAGAAGTTATCTAAATTATGTTTTCTTTCACAATCTTACTGGCATCATGCAAAGAAATGTTTCATTTCTAAAGCATTTTACTCTACAACGTGCCACTTTACTCTTTCCTACTGAGATTAATTCAACTTTGAATTGTATGCGCTGATATTTATATACTGAATACTGAAGAATGAGTTGGCAATTCAAGTTTTACCAAATTTAATTCCTTAATGGTAAGTTTTCCAGCATAAAAAGTCATGAAATGCTGATCTCAGAGTTGTAGCTATTGACTAAAATATATTTTTAAAATATATCAGTTCATCATGACCTTTTAGACAGTGGTAAATCCTCCAATACAGCTGTTAGATTAATACAAGTCTTAATCTAACAGTTCTCAGTCCTTCTTTCTGGCCTTTCCTGGGGTTATAAGTGTAGGATTTCATCTGAACAGACTGGACTGAAGAAACAAGAAACAGGACATGTAATGGAAACTACCCAGAGTTTTAAATTCTGTGTTTTCCCTTTGTTGCTCCTTTTCACTACATAAACTACAGTAAAATATCTGTTATTATTATCTTATTTCAGTTAGCATCTTAGTTTTCCAAAATGTAATGTTGACAAGGGATAAATGTACAGGGGTGAAGAAAACAGAGTAATAAATTCCCCCTTGGATTTCAAAACAGGAAGATATACTCCCTGAAGATTTCTTTCACTTTAGTTCTCTCTTCTCCTACACAGAAAGTAATGAAACATAAAGGTTTTTTCGAAAGTAAAATCTAAATGTTTTCATTTTAATGTAGCAACACTGTCTATTTAATGACGTAATGAATCTTATTAATCTTTTTTTTTTTTTAGGTATATATGACCGAAGGTCAAGCGATTCCTTTGCTATGTGGATGCAATTAGCCTATTTCATGGTATGTGCCAGCTACACCATCAAACCAGTGGCAGGAGCAGTAATTCTTTGGAGAAGTTATCATTTTAAATACGTGCTGATTAACTTTATGATACCTCAAACAGAACAGACTCAGCAGGAAGTGCAACAATTCATTAGAATTAATTAGAGGTTTTGTGCTTCTGTGATTGAGGCCACTTTATTTGTAAGACAAGTCTCACTAAACCAAAGGAGTAAAATCCCTAAGACTTCTTACTGTGATTATATGGCTCTTAATATATAGCCTTACTGAGAATTACAGCCTACCATAGTTTTAAAGTCCCCCTCCTTCACTCAGAGCAATTCCTCCTCCTGAACTCTAAGGAATTTCTCTGCAAATATATGTATAGAAATGCATATATATATATATGTGTATATATATATATATAAATATACATGTATGTGACACTACTGTCTGGAGGAGTAATTTCAAAATGGCATAAGAGAAAGAATATGCCAAGATAAGGACACAGAAAGTTAGAAAAATTACTTTCAAATGCGAAACCTGACCACCTGCAAAATGTGAGACCTTAAAAGAGGGGAATGTTCTTGAAGCTAAGCTGGTTATTTTCCATGCTTTCCTCATGTTAGCATTACTATATCAAGGTACCACTCAAACAATACATTATGACTGAAGTTTAATAATTAGTTTTGAATTTAACATTTCTTAACTATGAGAAAGATCTAGAGTCTTATACTAATTTTATGTTAATAAAAAACTAATACATAACATTTTGGCATACCTTTATCTTCTGCACTTATTAAGTTAGGTTTTGTATGACTGTAATAATTTTAAAAATGGATCTCTGTTGGTTTCTTAATGGCACTTACAATCTAATTCTCCATATATTCTACTGACAGTTTTCTTATGTCTTTCTGAAAATACTTTGCATCAAATACAGCTCTTATTTATGAAAAATGATACCATTTTAGGATAGAAATGCAAATTGCAAGTCTTTAAAAAAGGATAGGTGACTACAGTAGTTATGTTCAGCATTTCCTCTTGTATTCTTTTGGTTTTAATGGTGTATTGCAAAGATGAAATTATTGTTGTTTCACTTGCTAACAATAACTTGGGAAATACCATTTTTTTTAAGGCAGGCATAGTTTAGTCCTCTAAAAACATGGTTCACTGCAATTAGGAAATGACCATGCTCTTTCATCAAAGCAGGTATTATAGATGCTTTATCTTGACAAAATAACCAGTTGTGTTCTTGTGGGGTCAGGTACTCCCCTAACAAAACTGACCATCTAGGATTTGGATCTTAATGGTATGTGTTCTTGTTCCTTACATAAAATGACTGAACTGTCAAATGATTTGTCTTTTAAAGATTAAAAAAGTAAGAAGCAAGTGTTTTCTGTCAGTAAACTGAGTCTGGGTTAACAAGCTAAAATCAAAATTTCTTTTTTACCAAAATCTTCAGACCTACTAATTTCTCAGTAAATGCTGGTGGATTTTGTAAGGTAAACATGGCTTTGTACTTCTATCAGAATTATTTTCCTGATATAGACTGGAAAAACACAGATTTAGCAGCCAAATAAAGAGTATGGTTCAGTTATTTGATACAAGAGTTGATTGCAAGCTGGGAAAAAGGAAGGATTCTGTGACAAAAATTCCTTTTAACTCTGCTATACTGAGAATCATATACTAATCTGTGTTTTTGTGCTTATTTGGTGATTTCGGTTATTTTTACAGGAGATACTATAAAAATAGCCATGGAGTGGAAGAAATTTTAATTGTTTTTATTTTAATGTTTTACACTATTGCAATCTTTCCTAGATAGAAACTCTAAAGCATATTAATTACAGTGCTTCTAAGTCTAGGACACAGCGCAGAATTAAAACCTTTCAAAATATATTCACACATATTATGGAGTGATTTTCATTATTCTAAATATTTTAGAGGAAATATAAATAATTCAAGTCTGACAAGAACTACTGAACTCTGCTTATTGAAGAAAACCTTTTTCATTTATTTTTTCACCATATTTTGTAAAATCTCATTTTCAAATATCTATAGCATATTACAGCTCACTAAGGAAAACACATACTTTACGGTTTTGTCAATACCTAAAATGATAATAAATTATAATTCAAATTTTAATAAGAAAAGTCACTGTATGTCCCAGTCCAGGCTCATAAAGTGTTTGCCATTTACTTAAATAGATTATTTGTTTATCTGAGATTTTGCATAGTTAGTTTAACTGTTACCAACAAAGAGGAATATCTGTGAGTCCTTCCTGTGCAACACTTTGTGCTACATAGTGTTACTGAAGGCACATCCTTATTGAAAGCTAGTATTATGGTATTTTATAACATGAAAATAATATTACTGCATTAGTAACTCCTTTTGTAATTCTTTTTAAAGGAAAAATATTTTTATATGGCATAAACTTCTTTATGAGGGCATCACGTTAGTACCTGTATTTATTAATTCCATCTTCACATGTGGCTCCATGTTGGCACTGGTTTACCTCACACTCATTAATATTCTCTAGGCATGTTTTTCCTGTCCATCCAAGAACACACACACAGTGAGGTCTCTGGTTTTCTTCATCGTAGAAGCAACTACCTCCGTTTGCACATACCTGAAGATGAAAATGACAAACACATTGCATGGCCAGGTTTTGATAGTGAGAGGGCTATAGAGGTGGTTTCTCTGAGAAGCTGCCAGAAGCTTTCCCCATGTGTGACAGAGACAATGCCAGCTGGCTCCAGGATGGACCTGCTGCTGGCCAAGGTTGAGCCCATCAGTGATAGTGGTAGTGCCTCTGTGATAACATATTTAAGAAGGAAAAAAAGTTGTTGCACAGATATAATTGCAGCCAAAGAAAGCAGTGAGAATAGGTGAGAAATACAACTATGCAGACATCATGGTCAGGGAAGAAGGAGGGGGAAGAGGTGCTTCAGGTGCCAGAGCTGAGTTTCCCCTGCAGCCTGTGGTGAAGGCCACAGTGAATCAGCCTGTCCCCTTGGAGAACACAGAGGTCCACGGTGGAGCAGCGATCCATCTGCAGCCTGTGGAAGAGACCCATGCCTGATCAGATGGATGCCCAAAAGAAGGCTGTAAGCCTGTGGGACATAGTAGGTTGAGTAGCTGGAATAGGTTTGCTGGCAGCACTTTTAACCCCATGGGAGAGCCACACTGGAGTAGTCTGTTTCTGAAGGATTGCACGCTGTGGAAGGGACCTACACTGGAGCAGTTCAGGAGGAACTGCAGCCCATGGGAAGGACTCACATTGGAGAAGTTTGTGGAAGACTTCCATGGGAAGGACCCCACCCTGGACCAGGGGAAGGACTTCTCTCCCTGAGGAGAGCAGCAGAAACAACATCTGATGAACTGACTGTAACCTCTATTCCAAATATCCCTGCACTGCTGTGGGGGAGAGGTGGTAGAAACTTAAACCCAGTCTATTGGATCTGGCTGAGATGGAGTTCATTTCTCCCATAACAACCCTCAAAGCTGTGTTTCGCATTGGTTATCTAGAAAGATGTTGATAACACACCAGTGTTTTGGCTACTGCTGAGCAGGGCTGGTACAGCATCAGCACTGTCTCTCAATATTCCCCACCACCCCATCCAGGGACTGGGGGTGGGTAAGGTCCTGGGAGGGGACCCAACTAGGACAGCTGACCCAAATTAACGAAAGGGATATTCCATACTATTTGATGTCAGCTCAGATATGAAAGCTAAGGAACGGATGGAGAAGTGGGAACATTTGTTATTTACATTTGCCTTCTGGAGCAACTGCTATGTGTGCTGAAACCCTGCTTCCTGGGAAGTGGCAGAACATTGCTTGCTGATGGGAAGTAGAAAGTAAGCCTATTTTTTTCCCCTTTGCTTGTATGACCACAAACTTCCACTTTTGCTTTGGTAAACTGCCTTATCTCAGCCTACGATGACGTGGAGTTGTTCTACATCTTATTTTCTCTCCCATGTCCTGCTGAGAAGGAAAGTGATAGAGTGGCTCTTTTCCAAAGAGTTTAATTGAATAAGCAGTTGGTAATAAATATGGTTATTTAATCTTTTTATGTTGTAATATTAAAAAAAACACATCTCCAAGAAACTAAAACACTAAATGTTATTAAATCAATGTATCAGTTTATCATTTAGTTGGAAAGATGTATTTATTATTTAATTTAACAGTATCCCTTTCATAACTGCCTTTAAAATCTGCCTGTTTCAGGACAGATAATAGTGAACTAGCCTGTTATTTTTCCATTGAATAAGTAGAGCAATTGTTCCTGTGCTTAAAATCTGTATAAAACTTCACTAAATTTGTGGCTATTAGGAAAAAAAAGACTGAATTTTTTTTTCATGTTAATTATAATGCTGATTCACAATCTATCCTTGAATGTTTATATATATATATGTATATATATAAACATATAGATAGATAGATAGATAGATATATTTTACATCTATACTCTGGGAAGATCAGCAGCTTCTTTCTTTTCAATCTGGAGATTGAGAGATTGGTAAACTTAAGACTGGAACTGCCTTTTTCCTTTTTGTTTTTAATTGCTAATATTACTTACTAAACCAGTAAGTAACCTGTGTTCTTCAAAAACTACAGAAAGTTTTAAGTCTGAATGAATGCTCCTTTCCTCATTTTAGTTTTAGGTTCTCTTTTTATTTCCATGAAAATTTTGTCAGTGTGAAGATGGATAACAACATTTTCATTTCAAAGCACTTAAGACCCCTCCTTATAACCAATTGGTTTCTAAAGAAAATTGTATCTAGAAGATGAGCTAATCCAGTAGTACTTCAGTTTGATTGAATCTGAATCTCTTTATAATATCATTAAGATTTGTAATAATAACAGTTCTTGACAGAAATATTATAATACTCATTTGCCTTTTATTAAGTTTTAAATTGTCCTTAAAATGAAAAGATTTTTGTTATACTCTCAGTACTGAATTTTACACTTACCTTGGGATTCTTATTCAATATGGCAACTTCTTGAAGAAAAACACAGCTCAACGTAAATGCAAAAACTACTTTTATGTGTATGGTTTGGGAAGTGTTCTCTTCCTTTTTGTTTCATTTTTATGTGTTTTCTAATTTTTTTATTTAAACATTTTTGTTGGATTTGTCCTAAGGCTTACTATTTTCTCAAAGCTCAAATAGGTCAAAAGGTCAAATAAGCTTATACTCAAGAAAACCATCCAGAAAAAACTTAGAAAATTAAGACAAATATTTCAGTATCACCACATTATATTTGTTATATTCTTATGTTGTTTTTATACTCTGAAGAAAGGTGTTACCCTTTAAGATGCTAGTGCAATCTAAAACACTTTTAAATTGCAATGAAAGCTATGGAATGTATTTTTAGCATCAAATCTAGTTAGCAGTTTTTTCTATCAGATAGAGAATTAATTTTAGAGCAGAGATAAATATCAATTCAAATTTTGAAAACTCTGAGTTAGTATCTTTAAGGATTTAATAAGAAATCAGTGTTCAATATATTTATTAATCTATTACCAAAGTCAAACTGAATACCTCTGCATTGTGGTTTTCTAAGCTTCAAACTTGGATTGTGGTTTTTTTTGTTTCTTCTTTGTACAAGAAATACTTTTGAGTGGAAATAAATAGTCAAATGGAGTTTTGGAAAGAGCAGCTTCTTCCCATCAATTGACTTTTCCTTTTTCCCCAAGTAAATCTTCCCAATAGTTATGATTAATACAAATCTTATGATTCAACAGACCATAAACAGGTCTGTTCTGGTCAGTCTACTCTGGTCAGTCTGACCATCATTCTTCTGTCTATGGCAAGTACTTTAAAACAAATCTTCCTCATTATATAGTCTTGATAAACTGTAAGAATCACTTTCCTTCTAATATCAATCAGGAGACGTTGTTCGAGATAGGAAAGATAATTAGTCCCTACATGGTTATTTTATTCTTCTCCTATCTCCATTTTGCAGGGAGTGAATGACATGTCTGTTTCTCCTCTAAATATCATCTGTTCTCCACTGATTGAGATAAGACTGTCGTTTCTGGAACACCTCCAGGGATGATGACTCTACCACTTCCCTGGACAGTCTATTCCAATGTTTAACAACCCTTTCCAGAAAGAAATTCTTTCTGATGTTCAACCTGAACTTCCCCTGGCACAGCTTGACATATCTAAGGGTATGTCCTCTTGTCCTATCACTTGTTGCCTGGGAGAAGAGGCCGACCCCCACCTGTCTACAGCCTCCTTTCAGACAGTTGCATAGAGTGATAAGGCCTCCCCTGAAACTCTTTTTCTCCAGGCTAAACAAACACAGCTCCCTCAGCTGATCCCTATAGGGCTTACTCTCTAGACCCTTCATCAGCTCCGTTGCCTTTCTCTGGACACACTCCAGCACCTCAATGTCTTCCTCGAAGAGTGGTCCAGAACATCTTAGAATGCTTCCATATCTGTGATTGTTTGAGTCACAGGTGGACTTTTAAAGTGTATAGTCTATCTGTGGTGAAGTTCCTCTCACTGGAGGTTTTCAAGATATGACTGATAATCTCACTCATTTTTCCATGAAAGGTTGGACTTTTAGATCCCTTCCAACCTGGGCTGTTCTGTCGTTCTATGATTCTATTAGCTAGGCCTAGCATGCTGCACTCCAACTGTTTGTTATTACGAGTGCTCTTATCAGTTCTCTATGAGCTCCTGTTAACAAAATTACTGGAATCTGTAGCACGCACCTTATATTCAAATAGGACAAGGATATTTTCTTTATTCCTTTCCATGGCTACCTGAGCACATTACAGAAGAAAAGGTATTATAATACAAAGTGGCTAAATTTCGTCTTGCGGGATGTAATTAATTTAAAGAGAACAACATTTTGATTTATTTAGAAGTTCTTCACAATTCTCGGTGCAGGGCAGGCAGGCTGTGTCCTGATTACGAAGTTAAGATCAGATTTTGAAATTTAATAGAAGATATCCTCTGTCTTAAGGTATTTATGTGTTGTTGTTTTTTTTTAAAATAAATTATAATTAAAATAATATAAAAAACAACTGTAATGTATTGAATGTTGTGCTGGGAAAGAAAAACCCAAACTCCAATGCATTAATACCATTATATATTTATATAGAGATAAAAGAGACCCAATTAATGAAATTTATTTTTTGTTCATTAAGAAAATATTAAAAACAGTGATATTCTTTTAAGTCTGTTGTGCTGAATACACAGAGGCTAAGCAGTTCAGCATATCTAAGATATCAGTGGAAATGGAAAAGAAATGAAAGGATGCAAAATATATACTTACTTTCCAGCCACAAAAAATAAATTAAGAATTAAATGCTGGATAATTCAATTTATTGAATAATAGAAATGTTTAATTTCAAATGATTGCTTCAAAAATGCTTAAAAAAAGTATAAAAATATTTATTTGTTTGCATATGGCCTTTATTTTTTCCAATAAGCAAATGATACTACTTTAATGACCTGTAAGCTATGAAAACAAGTAGAACTCAAGAATATATTTCCATAATTTTAGTTTCTATTCCCTTTTGTATTAGAAAATCTACTAATTATTCACATTATGCCCAAATTAAACATCCCATACAGTGAGTGTATATTGTTATATATAAAAAGTTACTTTTTTTCCCACATGACATTTATGATAGTCTATGAAATGTTTGTATGAATAAATTAACTATGTCTGAGGCTTTTAAGCAAATACTACAGTAAAATGTTTTACTAGCTCCCATCAGCATCCTTGGCACACCACCACTTTCCATACTAACTACCCATAATGATTATTGCATCATTATGATGCTGTGCCATGTACAATATATTTGCACTCAGTATGACACTCTAAATCATAAAAATGTTAAAATTTACCAGATGCTGAACAATTAAAGTATAAACCTTTGAGCCAATGGGTATTTCAGTGTTATATTTCATATTCAGTTATAAGTGTGTACCCATGGACTTCAAGGTGACATAAATATTGATTGTTCTTTGTAAACACATTGCCTACTCTGCATAGTATATTTTTATGGTGCATGTACTTCAATAAAATAATTGATAAAGCCTTTAAAACACTCATTATCATGTTTGTGTAGCTGTTTGAAAAGGCTATATAGCATTGTGTACATAGCTTTTAAAACAACTATCATAATAAAAAATGCAACAGTATTTCAGTTTAACCCATATCAAAGTCTCATAAACTCAAAGATCTGGGCCTGTACTGTAAGTGTTGAAGAGTAAATGAAAAGGAGAATTTTGTTTTTTTTTTTTTTTTCTAACTGCATTTCATCTCTCATTAGAGTGCAATTAGTCTAGCTTTTCTGTTTTCAATTATGGTCTTTATTTTTGGTTTTAATGGAAATAAAACTTTTGTTGCTCTTTCTGTGCATTGCTGTACCATCAGCCTTCTCTCTAGTAACTTTTAAACACATCAAACATTACAAAGAAATTTCGCTTAAAGTTCCTGCCAGTTTCATATCATAACAGCAGCAAGTAGGGGACAGAAGATACATCAGTGAGTAAACCTATAAAGAACAAGAAAGGCAGAGCTCAGACATCAAACGTTTTGTTGGACAGTGACCAGACTAGTCACAACCTGCACTTTTAGATGCACAGTTTACACAGGAAAAAGGAATATTAGCATGGGAATATATCAAGAATGAGTACTGTGTTTAGAAAACCATGGGAAGTGAGGCTTCATCAGCTCACTGCTCTTAGAATAACTTGTTTGATTTCCCAAAAACTCGGGGGGGGATATATCACTTTATCCTACCTCTGTGTTTCCAATACATGGTGATAAACATGTGTAATTAAATCCATGAGATTTATCCATACACAGTGCTCCTGGGGCACAGCTTATATTGTTGAAAAGGCAGGCATCAATATCGAGTTCACATCTTTCACCTTCAAAACCTGCACCACAAAGAGAATGTTTAATCACACTTCGTTCAGAATATTGACATTATGTCTGTTCAGGGTGTTAGCAGTTAACACCACTCTACTAGAGTAATTTGGCAGTTTTATTTCCTAAACAAAAAGTGTAATTCTTCATAAAAATGTTCGCTGTATTCATTGAGATACATTGCCACTTTTATGTTGGTATTTCTTAAACATAAATATTTGGATGACATTTTATTTGTTCTGTTTAGAAAAGAAAATAAATTTCCAATGACTCACCTACAGGGCAAGCACACTGAAAATGATCTTCATAGGCAATACATGTTCCTCCATTTTCACATGAATTGGAACCACAGTTATCAATTTGCACATCACAGAATTCTCCTGAGATTGAAAAAAAAAGTCCTAAAAAAGTTAATAATTAATATCACACTCTTAAAGAAATATCATAAGTCATATTAGTCCTATCAATAGAATAACTTGCTTTAAATAAGTTCTCTGGAATATTGGTTAGAATTTAAAGATCTTCTGTAAGGTTTCAGACTCTTTTCTCTCCACTTATATATATATGTAAATAAATCTCAATGTCTTAAAAAGGAGATTAAAAAAATACTTTTCAGCATTTAAAACAATTTTAGAATGCATCCAAATGGGGATACAGAGCTGAAGAGGGAGGATTTTCACTGGAAATAATTAACTGAAATGGAGGTAATACCTTTGTATTTTTTCTGCTTTTTCCTGCTGCATGAGTCAAACCTGATCTCTACTCAAGACTTCTGAATCTATCATGTACATATTTTATATTTCATTATGTCTTTTCTGAGCTCTGTTTTGGCTAGTCCACATTTATCTGAGGTAACTCTTATCATCATTCCACTTAGCAACTATTTGCTTACTAAGCTGAAAACTGCTTTTAGATCAGCAGGCAGAAATAACTGAACTTGTAACTGGACAGTTCTAAAAAAAAATGTACTGAAGAGAAATATATCTCTGGAAATGTGATACCAATCAATAAGGAAAACCATCAGCTTTACCATTACTTTTGGAGAACAAGTAGATTTGACAAAACCAAAACACCTTAACTTTCTCTCTATAGGTTCATGATGAGGTTTTTGTTTGTTTGTTTGTTTTATTTTATTTTTTTTTGTTATTGGTGTGCTATTGTTTATTTCTCCCTGATTTTAATTTTATTTTTAATTTACTATTTCTACAGCAGGAGTTCGGCATTTTATTTTTTTTTTTTTTCAATTTTAGAAAATATAAAGAATAGAGAAATGAAACATGAAACAATCTTCACTTCTTAGAAAACTAGAAGGAGGTGCAGGAGTTTTGAGACATTTCAAGGAGGAAAACTTCAGAAAATACAGTAAGTGTAGATTACTGACGTTTTTACTGCCAGCTTGTGTTACTTCACTCCATAGTTTAATCAGAAAACATGGAAGAGCTGCACAGAAAAATGTTCAGGAGGAATGTACAAGAAATTTGGATAATTTCTTAAATCGGACAATATGTTTTATAAAATATTGAGTCAGAAGTTAGTATTTTATTTGAAATTCTTCATATGTCAAAAGAAAAAGGAAATAATTTTATGTCCCATAATGAAATTATTTTAAAATTTTTAATCAGCTCTCCTTTTGATCTAAAGCTAGGAACATCAGGAGAACATACGTTGATAGTATAAAATTTGGTAAGAAAATGTCTCTTCTTCAGCAAAATATTTTTGCCAGTTTTATTCATTTTACTCCATTCCTGATATAAACCACTTAAGCTTTAAGTAACACATACTCTATATTTTAATATGCCAAACTAAGACCTAAGGACTGCTTTTTATGGACTTCTATAAATGTAAACGGGAATATGCTGTGATTTGTTTGACACAAATCTCTATTTTGGGCCAACAGGTGCTGAACCACACGAGCAATCTCATGTACTTACAGAGAGGTTGACCAGCATGCTATAGAGATTTCCAGTGTTTAATTTGTCCTTTTACCCCTCTGTCAAAAATATCCCACTAATAAAATATCTCAAATTTTCAAGAACCAAAAGTATACTTTACTGTAATTTATACAGCTTACTCAGTTAAAATTTGTTAAAGTATATTACTACAGTAAAATGTAAATAATAGAGAAAATAGGAAAATAGAAAACTATATACTTTTTGCTGTTTATTATTATTATAATATGTAATAATACACAGGAAACTATGGGCAACTTGCCTTTACATTTATTAGACTCTCATTTGCTCTGTTTCTGTTGACACTAATGGTAGCTTAAAGTATGTGTATCTCAGGGGAGATTCCATCATGATTAATACTTTCAGAAAGCCATTTTCTCTAATACTGGTTGGCAAAAAAGCATGCTAAAACATAGATATTTTGATTACAAAATCAACTGAATGTATTGAGGAAGTTTCTGTCTCCTAGGAAATTGTTAAGTTTGTTTTTTTTTTTTTGTTTTTCTTTCTTAATGAGGTCCGGAAGGCAAAATTGGAAGGAAAAAAAGACTGGGAATAAACTTTGACTCAGTACGTATTTTGGATCCATTTTACCATGTTTATGCATGAGGATGGAATTGTCTTGTCCAAGAAAGCCTTATGAATAAATATTAGTGCAATCAAACAGGCTTTAAGAATTACTTTGTTATAAATCTGAAATTCTTACAAAGGCCGTATCCTTTAAGCAAACTTTATGACTTTTGCCTGCCACAATGAGGTCAAAAAAATCTGGTAACTCCAAACTGTTATAAAATTTATTGGAATCTGAATACTGCTGAGAAATGCATAATTTATGGTATTAAAATCTGATTAAGTGATAAATGGATATCAGGAGAGGTCTCCACAGAAATCCACTTAGCTTTTAATGCCTAATTATCACTTCATAGTGAGTAAGGGCTGAGTAATTGAGAAATGCTGTACTTAGAGAACTCAAACAATATTTTTGTGCACAATTAAAGTTGTTATTCTTCTATCAGGAATAAGGTCAGCAAGCAGAAGGAACAAAGATAAAAATAAATTATATAACATTAAAGGGAGGGGAAATTATAGGATTTTACTATTGTACTGTTTATTTTTATAAATGACCCTATGCATTTTATACCTAAGCATGTGTTCTTAGAAGTCAAATTGCTTATTTGTTTTCCTTGTCTTTCCTTTTGCTACCAATATACTCAGAGGAAACTTTCTTGTCCTCCTTGATTATTGCTATTTTAATTTCAACTTAGCTTTGGCTTTTCTAACTTCATCCATGTACACACAGGTAGTGTCTCTATGTTTCTCTCAGGCAGCTTCCAACTTCCACTTTCTATGTACCATGGGATGAGACATTTAACCACATTAGCACACTAAACTTGAAAGAATATACCTGGCTTCTCATCTGTGTTTGTGAGCTTGGAATCCATGATGCACTAAAGCAACTACATAGCTAGGAAGTTGGTACCAGACAGCTAAAAACCAGATAAATTAGAATACTGTCCCAGTTTAAAGAGATTAGAGTGTTTTGCTAGGGAGGATGAGTTAGGAGGTAGACCAAACTCTTCTCTCTCAGCAACTGTAAGTCCAAGATTAAGAGGCTCCAATCGAAGAAGTATGGAAAAAGGAAGAAATAACAACCCTTTATTAAAGGATATATGTATATTGGCAAAAACAGTAACTGCACACAAAAACAACTAAGCAATAATCCTGTACCCAAAAAGTCCCCTTCAAAAAGGAAACAGTCTGATACTTCTCTGTCCTCTAGCCTGATTCTAATCACAGAGCACTGTTGGATCATTGGAAAAGCAGAGCCTGCAGTGCTTGGTGTTGGTTGGCAGGGGGTGCTGTTGGGCTCTGGCGGTCACTGCGTGGGGGCCCTGGATCACGGGAGAAGCTGAAATGGAGATCTCCCCCCTCACCAAGGAGGGGAAGGGCAAGAAAGGGGAAAGAAAGGCAGTTTCTTTCCCACTAAGCTCACACTGTCTGCGGCTGGCTGTAGACAGGACTCCCCCTTTGTTCATTGGTGAGCACAAACTCTATGATGAGATCTGAGCACGTTCAGCTGGTTACAGAGCAGACCACAGACAAACCGAAGCCAGAGAACAGACAGATGACCAGGTCGAGAGCAAAACGGCCTCCGAGCTTTTTCAACACACCTTGCCCCCATTAAGGCACAAAGTGAAGTGTTCACTGTTTGTAAGGAGAGGAGAAAAACTCCTCCCCCATCCCTGCAGTTTTTCAGATGGGCTATTAGCTGGGAATGCAGGTCTGCCAGCTAGTTCTTTTGTATAGTTAATTACCCCTTCCCCCTCCTCGTTCAACCTCCTTCTCTTACAGTGGGACAGGGGAAAGGAAAATTTCTGCTTGGATTTTTAGAACAAGTAAACAAGTAAACCTATGACACATACTTATGCCTGTACCTGGTTGTAAACTTACCATTTTTTTTAAATAAATAACCATAAATGACCCAATACAGGTAAAATTCACCTAAGAATTCTAAATGGCATTGCTGAAGCAGCGATAGTTGAGTGAACAATCTTTTAAATGGACTTTGGGATCAGAAAAAGGAAAGGTGGCAAATGCAATACAAATTCTGAAGGGAAATATGAGGGGTTTGTTCCCTGTAGCCCTGCAAAACAATATTGACACTTCTTGCAATAGACCATAAGCTTTGCATTAACTTTGCAAGAACCGAGGCTCATCACACTTGATCTGTATTTCCTGCAGTGATGTTTTACTCGGTTTAACTGTGACAGCAGCTTTTTCTTCTGATTTGCTTTACTTTTTTTTACCTTTGCATGGAATAACCATAGTTTTATATAGGCTGCAGTAACAAGTAGTCATTCCATGTAGGATGATGTTTACTACTCTAATGCAATGCTGTATAGAAATACAGGGCTGGAAAGAGACCTTGAGAGATGGAGACATAGGATGTGATGTGAGGAACACTGCATGGAATGATCAGAGGTGTGGCATAGGTCTGGCATGGGAGACTCCATGACTACAAACAACTTACCAGTGCTCAGTTAAAGAAAGCAGACCAGGAGCTGGACAAAACTGGTCTTAGGGGTAACAAAAAAGTCAAAGAAATGGTATTTAATATACTTTAGAGCCACCATAAAAAGTAAATTCAGATACAAAATAGAGCTGCAGTCCAATGAAGAAAAAGTGTAAGCGGACATATAGAAATAGCCTCAAGTGGATCCTAGAGAGATGAAGAAGAAACATTCCTTCCTTTGAAGGACTATAGATTCTTCTAACACTACCCTCAACAGCACCACTGTGAAACCACTGACCTTAAGATCTGGAGGGGGAGAGAAAAGGGTGAGTATAATGTCAGAAAAGGGACAGAAACTAAAAATTCTGTTAGTCTCAAACTGAATTTTTACTCATTTTCTCATTTCTAATCTAGTGAT